CAGCTGGGCTAGCCTGCCCCTCCTCTTTTAACGATGGTCATTACAGAGCTTCTAAATTTGTGTTCATAAAGCAAAATAGCCAATGTAAATTTTATGCAGATCCCTCCACTTTTGCTCTCTTTTTGATGCTGTCTAAGCAGCCACCCAAGTAAGAATCCACAAGACGAGGTTTCTAATCTCTCACTCTTCCTCTTCCTGACATTTGGCTGCTTTTCTAGAGTTCAGGCATGTACCTGGTGGGAGGAAAGGAGTAAAAGTTATACCTGGGAAATAAGAAGAACTTTAAGTGGAGTCTCCCCAGGCCCCATCCTACGGCAAGTGCAGACAGACAATAGGGGTAGTTGGACGGGCCTTGCTGGGAACGGCAGGCCTCTCTCCTGCCCAAACGTGCAAGCTTTGGGCCTCCAGTCCTGGTCACGGACCTCCACTTGCCGCTGGGCCACAGCAGAGCTCCAGACGGTTGCTGAAAGATGGCCAGTGATAGCAAAATGGACACTCGCCATCATTTGCACATTACATTGCGAGCCTGCCCTGCTTCCGTCCTCTCTCCATTGAATCCGCACTACAACCCTGCGAGGTGGGATTGGCTGAGCGAGTGCCTGGCCAGAGTCACCCAGCGAGCTTCCTGGCCAAGAAGGGAGCAGAGCCCGGAGCCCCAGTCCCTGGTCCAGCACCCTCACCATCGTGCCTTTTCCAAGCTGGGCTTCCAGAATATAAACCTCGGGGATCTGCTGGTGTTACAGTGACGACTCCAGAAGTCTCGGCACAAGGGGACATTTTGAAATTCCACCCCCCACATGCCGTGGGATCAGGCATTCAAAACGCCTTCATTAGTTGTCAGTTCAGTAGCCTGCCATTTTTCTGTCCAATTAATTCTTTTATTGTGGACCGGATAAAGGGAGACAAAGGCCTGCGAACAGTAATGAATCATTAACATTCAACAGCTCCTCTCCTGCTCGCTTGCTGTCTCCCTTGGCTTCTCATCAGACCGGCCCCATCTTGCATTTGTTCTATGTGTGGTAGTTACACTTTATCCTACCTCAGGCAGGACTGTATTTTTCCTTTCCTTTTAATTTTTTTTAGGAACAAGAAGGGGCAGAAATGGCACGTGATTCACTCTTTCCCAGAGGGAGAACGCAAGTTTCTAGCACCATGTCAAGGGGTCTAGACAGGTCAGAGGCAGGGCCCTGGCAGGGCCCTGCTTGCTAGAGAAAATACTGATTAAATTAGTTCTCTGTTAGTTGGCTGCTTAATGGGCTTGGGCCTTGGCAACTGTCCGTGCTGGACAATCTGTACAGCGCTCCATGACTGGTCTGGCATCATTCACATTGGAGAACAAGACTGGGTAAGTGGACCAAAGATTTACTGTTTTCTCAGATAATCATGGATGTTTCCTGACTTGCTCAGCGGGTAGTGAATCTGTGGGATCTGGGCATCTTTTCTTTCTGGCTTATTGGCATAGTCCAGTGCAAGGGTGCAGACAATTCTTTTCCATTGGGAGCACATGCCCTTGGATGATATCTGCTGGTAGTCACTTGTGGGTAGAACCAGGGTCAAAAAGTAGGTGCAGCCACCGTTCCTCTCTCCCTGACCGTGTTCAGACAATATGGTAACCCAGGGTTAAATGTGCCTTGAGCGTGGGCTATTGCTGAGCGGTGGGCTCTTGAAGAGACGTGGGTTGTCCTCTTGTCTGAAATCAGCTGAGCAGCCCATGAAGAGAACCCATGGTTTGTTGTTGGGCTATAAATTGTGAGCTGCTCATCACAGCGTGTTACGCACCTGGATTCAGAGGGGTTTGTAATAACCCACATTTCAACAACTTGCCATTAAATGACATCCCACCCTCACCCCATGCTCAGTCCTTGAGTATGGGTTATTGGGCTTGCTTATTTATGTATTTATAATATTTTTATCCTGCCTTTTTCCCTTCCAAGGAACTCAAGGTGGCTTGTATCCTCCTCCTCCTCCTCCTCTCCACCTTGTCCTCACAGCAACAACCCTGTGAGGTAGGCTGGGAGTCTAGAGACTGGCCCAAAGCCTCCCAGCGGGCTGCAGGGCTGAGCAGGGACAAGAACTCAGATCACGCGAGTCCCCATCCTGCACTCTTAACCTTCGCACCACGCTGGCTCCCTCAAGCCACCGACTCTTTGCTGTGGCCTTTACCGGGCAAGGACATTAAGAAAGGCTGTTGGGGGTCGGGGGGGTCACCAGATGAAGAAACCCAGATTTGGCTCCTCAGCCTGAGGGTGCCCACCCCCGCTATAGCAAGAGGAGCTGGCTCAAAATATGTTTCCTACAGAGAAAGCAGGATGGGCTGCTTTATATCTCTGTGCGTTTGTTGGTTGCGTCTCCGCACACCCACTCGTATGCATGCATCTGCGTGTACATTGCCTGTGATGTGTGCAAGAGCAGACCAAGGGGAATGCGAGGATGAAACGCAGTGACAGTGGGGGGACCAGCATGGGGCTGCGTGGGTCAGTAGTCCAACTGGTGGGAGCCGTGGGCTGGCTGAAGCCCAAGGATCTCCCATTCCGGAGCACTGCATACCAGGCCTTGAGGAATGTTTCACCAACCTAAATGAAGTCATCACGCACTGCCCACGTGGTCTGTTTTAGTTCCTCAGACACATGGAGCAATTCCTTGGGGGAAAAATGAAACGTAATGATTTAAGATCAAAGAACTAGATAATTTTTAAGTTACACTCAGGAACCTTCCCACTCGGAGGCCAAAATTCAGTGCTGTTTGGCTGCTCTCCTGTCTCAGGCTACAGAGCCGGGTCCAGGAGTAGAGTAGGAAAGGGTAGGGGTCCTGGGGGCTCTACATGGCCTCCAGTGCCCTTGCCGCCCTGTCCTGGGTGTGGGTCTTTGATGCCTTAATCCAGAGAAGCCCGAGAGCTTCTAATTCAGCTCTAATTCCTCTTTGCTGTACTGGACTGGTTGTTTCAGTTCATGCCTGAGACGAAAGACAGAAGTCCATTATTCTGTGTTCTGCATTCCACGCCCTAGAAGTCATAATCCTGAAGGGTGGGGTGGAAAGATCTTGAAGGAAGGTGCTGTATTAAAGGCCAAAGGGAACTTTTTCTGTACTATTAAGAAATCTGAAGATCTTGTATAAACCTTGTTTCCTCTTCCTTAATTCTCAGTGATAAACCACTGCAGATAATGGTAGGCGGTCACGGGAAGAGATTGGAAGCACGAAACTGCAGTGGAGTTGCTGGGAAAGAGGCTTGCTCATGACAAGATTTCCAACAGGTGGGAGAGTGTAGCATTCACCGCTGAAAAGGGTACTCTGCACATGCTCCAGAGCACTCTCTCTGTCCAGCTCAATACTAGGAAAAAATTCCTGACTGTTAGAGCAGCTCCCACGTCCGGTCCCCTGCAGCATTCCAGGCTGGACTAGAAAAACCGCTGCCTGGAACCCCGGGATCTGCGAATGCCAGCTAGTCGACAGGGGGCAGCTAACTGGGCCAACATCTGCACTGGGTCAGCAGAAGGGAGCTTCCAACAGCTTCAGAGCTGTGAAACGGGGATGCAAAACAACCACATGATCTGTAAGAAGTGCTTTTACAATGCACTTAAAAGAAATGAAACCTTGAATACGTCTGAGAGCCGGCCTTTAAACACCGGTGAGAATCTGTCTCCGCGCACACACCAAACCCCATCCCCATAAACACACAAATGCACACGCGTGCAACAGGGAAAGCCACCAAGAGTCTGTCTTGCATCCAGATAGTGCCTGGGAAGCAGCTTCCATCCCATTTGCACAGGAGTATCTCCCATGCACAGGCGTATTTTGCCTTTTGCGTTGCTTGTTTTAAAAAAAAATCTAGGATTGTAACAACAACACAGACTGAATCTATCCGCGAATGGTGGATAAAAGGCTTTTTTTTTTAATTTTATCAAATGGATCTGTACAAAAGTTAGCATTACTTAGTCGGAAGCTAGTGAGCAGAACAGATAACAATCGACGACCTTCATACTTTATACAGAAAAATAGATTGCATAAGAAGGAGTTTCCGCTCTCATCCCCCCTCGATTTTCCCACTCCACCCACCCCCAAATTCCCAAAAGGCAATATGCAAAAAAACTATTTTTTAGGAAAGTGAAAAACAAAAACAAAGAACCAAGAATAGGAAATATAGAAAAGATAAGATAGATAAACTCTGAACATTTAAAGATTTATAGAATTTTCTTTTAAAAGGCACAATGTTACCATTATAGTAGATGGTTGTTATATGCGCAGCATACAATGGAACAAATATCAATGAAATATTAGTCTACCTCTAAAAAAATTAATGAAATATAGTGGAGATTGTTTATTTTCACAGCTTTGATTGACGACATCTGGTCCCTAAATAGGCAACATTGAAGTGAAACGCAATCCGTTACTTCTGCTTCAAATGCAATTTCTGAAAACTAGCTGCGTTCCCACCCGTCGGAGAACTCGGTGATGCCTTCCGATCCAGTTTACCATCTCAGAGCCAGTTGGCGTGCGGGGTGGGGGGAACCCTCTGTTGCTATTTTTCCACGCTCAGGTCATCTCCCAGAAGAGCGCATGGGTGCCCCCCCCCACATTCCGTCCTGCCGCATTCAGTGATAATTCTCACACAAGGGCTGTACATGCAAAGCATAATGCTGGAACTAGTCACACTTGTGCATACATTTTTCTTTTCCGGAAGGGTCTGTGAATACGATTTGGCAGTGAGCTAGAATGCCCCCCCCCCGCCCCCAAATCCACTCCACCACTGTGAGGCGGGTCCCAGCTGTCCTTTCCCAGTGTAGCATTATGCAGACTCCAAACTGTTCTGGCCTGAGGCGCTCCTCCCGGGACAGACACCAGTGCCGTGGCTCCTCGGGTCGGCATTGTGAAAAGGAGTTTGGTCGGCGAGTCTCGATCAAGGCAGCCCTGCCGATTCCGTGCTCCACCCGCCTCAAGCAGCCTGGTTCCCCCTGGTAGCCCCTGTGAGGGGAATGGAAACAGGGCTGGGTCTCCTACGAAGTGGGGCGAAGCCAGCAGGGCTGGCCACGCCCTCCGTGGCAACTCCGGACGGCCTCAAAGCCACAGCAGGAAGGGCAACTGGGGGGCATCTCCAGGGCAGCTGTCCACTGGGGGGGGGGGATGAGCTGGCCCTCTGGAGAGCCCCACTGCTCCGACTCGCCCGCTGCATTAAAGGTGCCTGTGAGAACAGGCCGTTCTCGTCTCCTGCCCCCTGGCTCACACGGAGAATCTGCTGGGAAGGGCCAAAGGGGTTGGGGAGAGGCGGGCTGGCCAGGACAAGTGACGAGCACAGCTCCCGGGGGAGCCTGCTCGGCCCAGCGCCTTCTGCTGCGGGTGGTCCTTCCACCAGGTCAGGCACTGTGGGAGCAGATGGCAGTCTGCACATGTTTTCCTGCCTCCAGTATAGGAAAGTTTGAACCACCCCTGAAAGGGGATGTCAGAGAGAAACGGAACCCATGCTCAGACGCACCATCTTCAGCAGGAGCTGAAGAAAGGAAGGTGCTGCACCTCCTCTTACAATCTCAGGCCCCAGAAAGCACCCGCTAACACCAACAGGCAGGCAGTTCCGGGCTGACAGAATCATGGATGTTTCAGGCAAGCTGCACGGAGCTCTGAGGATCCCAAGCTGAAAGAAGAGACTGGAGCAACGCAGTGGTGCAACGGACTCGGGGATGCCACACCTACATTCTTCATCAGTGGGGATGCTACCAACATGCCCCCCTCCACCAGGTCTGTTCCCTTTAAGCTGAGTGGCACCCCTCATCATAGGAGGGTTTTTCTTTTTATGTCTATTTAACAGCAAGCGCATGATGCAGCAATGATTGCTTCACTTTGGACAGACAACCCTGACCCACTTCTTTTGACCAAAGTGCCACTGAACCCTGCTCAAACTGGTCTGTGGATCTGGGCCCACCCAGCTGCCTGCCTGGGGAGGGTCTCTGAGTCTTGTGGCTGCACGGACTCTTCTGGGCCACACCTGCATTTCCGCACAGGCCCTGGGAGCGACTCAAGGTGAAGGAGAGCCTGCGCTCTGGTGCCGGCCGCCAAAGGGAGCAAGGCCAACACCTTCGTTCATGCTCCTTGGGCAGGCAGCTTCGTTTCGAAGGGAGCTGGGCCAGGAAGACATCAGGGACTGGTCCAACAAGCTCAGATGCTCAAGCACTGCCATTACCCAGACGTCGTGCTGAGCACCAACAAAATTAACCCTCAGATTCTTCTCGTACACTTCCTTCAAGCCCTTAATTTACCACTTCATTCTACAAAGCATTTAAAATGTACCGTTATGATTGAAAACCCTGCAAAGTTTTAAGTACAGTAAAGGGGGGGGGGGATCCATCTTGTCTCCACTAATTTACACCCTTTAAAATCTCTCTTAAAAAATCTACTTCTTGCACAGAATTACTTCATTAATTAAAAAGACAAAATTACACAGAACATAAATACATAGTTTTAACAGATTTACCCCAAAATGATGACCAAAAAATCAAAACACTTTTATGAGCTTCCAAACATAAAGTTAATTACAGCCAAACCTTGCTTAGAGGACTTTGCAACTGAAATGAAGAAATCTGACTTTAGGTGATTGATTGGTCCCAAGAGAGTCTCAAATGGTCCCTAAGCATTATTAATTAGAAGGTTAGATTTTAAAGTCCATTTGGGTTCCTTGTCCCAAGGCTGAATTATCTTCAGATTGCAATAGACCCTTAAAGATCAGCTTCTCCCGTAATCTTGCACTGTCCTACAAACAAACCATGCACTTCTCTTCAAGTCCTCATGGAGGAGTTGGAATATATGGAATATATTGTCCTTCATGTATTCAAAAGAAATCATCTGTCCAGATGTTTTTAATTATTAATTATTATTAATAATAAAGAAAATAGACCTCTGTCTTGGAAAAATTTAAAAGATTTTGGGAGGGATGCCCAGTCATTCAGAAGAATGGGAGGCACTTGATGCAGTGATGTGGTGCCCCAGCGTGGATTTTGCTGTCTGCATTCCGTTTTTGTTCTCATGTAGTGCATACGCTGGAAAGGGAGGAAGGCCTCGAACGGCAGCTCTGCCTATCCTTTCAAGGTCTTGTCAGAGTTGTGTAGACGGGCTGGTCCCAGGTCGCCGTGGGGCTGTGCGATGGAGGGATCGACAAACTGTTCAGGATGGGGGTGGCGTATGGCCTGCGGGAGGAGTGGAAGTAGGGGTACTGGTAGAGGCTGGAAGGGTAGCCGGGATACGGATTGTAGTAGTTGGAGGTCTGGAGGTCTGTGTAGTCGCACTGGGAGCTGGAGAAAGAGGCTGCGGCCGCAGCCGAAGCCACGGTGGTCGCACACGCCTGGGAACTGTACGAGCCGTAGTCGGAGTGAGCCGGGGAGCTGTGGGGCTGGTCGCTGTAGTGGCTTGGGCTGAGCTGCTCCGTCTTGATGTGGGGCCTCTGCTGCCCGGTCTCGCCGGAGGAAGGGGACGCGGAGGAAGGGCTCTTGTGAGTCCAACCCTGAGCGGCTGCGCCACTGTTGCCGCTCGCTGGATGGGAGTAGGAGGCTCCATAAGACCCCGCGGTGGAGTTCGGCCCGTGATCGGCTGCCATGGTGGCGTGGCCATTGAGTGGCAAGTACTGGTCAAACTCATGGACATCAAAGGTCTCCATGTTGCTGATCACCTCGCTGCTCAACTCAGAAATGTCCACGTTGCTGAAGTCTATGTTCTGGCGACCACTCTCCACTAGGCGGCGCCCTTCGTGCTTCAGCTCTTGTTTGCTGCCATGGTGAAGGTCTGTTTTAGGGGTGGTGGGGGGCGTGGGGGGTCCGTGGGTCTGCCCTAGGGAGAAAGAACATTTCAAAGGCTGTAGTTATTCCGGGGAGCAGAGGGTTGCTAGTATTTCCTTACCGTTCCCTGAAACAGCGGCCGCCAAAGGACAGTGAGCAGAGCATCCTGAGCAGATGAGGCAGTGAGAAGCAGAGGCAGCCGCTTGACACCGAGTCAGGCCTCCGGCGCCTCTCACAAGCAAAGGCCGCTAGGGATCGAACCCCGGATGTTCAGATGCCAAAGCCCCACCTGCACAATCTGCATCTTCCAGGTCCCATCACAATCCCTCATCGCAACAGCAAGGAAGAGAAGAGAGAGAGGGAGGTGGGGTTCGAAAAGGACACTCCAGGCACAAAGAGGCCAAAGTCCTGGGACGGATTGCTGACAGCTCCCAGTCATCTCCCTGGGAAAACTCCTGCCAACTCCCTGGAGGGTGGCTGCTGCCAGTCGGAGTCAGCAGTGCTGGACTAGAGGCGCCAAGGGCCTGACTCAGCTCAAGCAAGCTTCTGCTGGTCCTGGCTTGGAAGGACAAGGATTTGTGCGCGACGCAGCAGAGGGCAGAGGAACTGCGCCGGCAGCTGGAAAAGCGAAGAGGTCTTTTGAAGCGGAGTTCTGCCAATCTTGCAAAGAAGGGGAGCTGCACTAGTCAAGGCAAGACGTAACCAGCACACAGAAGCAGGATTTGAGCCACACGGTCCAAGCGGGGTGGGGGGTGTTTCCACTGCTCTACGGGGACAAGAAGCAGGAACTGGCTCTGAGCCACCATCACTTTAGATGGGATTCAGTTTAATGTACTCATTTTATACATTGACACACACCATTGAGAGTTCCCTCAGGGCAGACAAAAAGAAATGAACAGAAGGAGTGACAGAATGAAAGCACAGCTTTCAGGCATTCCTGCCTAGAAGAAATACGGCTAAAAATGCAAGGTGTTTCGTATCCATCAAAACAAGGGGGAGCATCACTATCGGGACAGGTAGCATCCTGTGTGTGCACAGGTGGGGACACCTCACCGCAAAGTATACGAGGCACCAGCCCAGAATGCAGGTAGATTTTCCAGTGCCTACAGCTGTGGGAACCACCTTTTCCTTCCCCCACCAAAAGTCGGAGGTCTGTGTGGAGGAAAACCAACTGTGTGCAAACTGTGTGGGGCAGGCAGTGCTGGAACACTCAGCAGGGCAAACAGGTGCTCGGCGAGGGGCCGGTGCTGCCCTCTGGGCAGGCTGCACCTTGTGCTGGGTGCCTGGGAGGAAGATGCACCTGCTGACTGTTATCCCGAGCCCCATTTAAACGAAGGTTTCCCTGCTGCCTTAGGTGCTCCAGAACTGGCAAGGCAAGAGGCCAGGCAGACTCGGGGGCTTCTGTATGCAAAGCATGGCTCTGTTACAACGCCCAGGCCACCAAGAGAAGACAACGCTAGGGAAGTGCGGGCACCCCCGTCCTTCAGCCTGTAGGGGCTGACACATGCCCCAGAGAACGCCTGCTCCCTGCCTCCGTGCAGGCAGTCTGCTCCCGGCGGGGGAAGGAATGTGCTGCTGCGACCCCATGGAAGAGCTCTCCAGGCACTGCGATCTCCAATGGGAGCGACATGTACTTGGCTCGGCCCTGGTTTTGAAAAGAGAACTCCGGCAATCTGGCAAACACCAGCCTGGAAAGGCCAGTGGGCAAAAGAAGGGGAAGCCATGGGGCACTTTTGCACGGTGCTCTTGGACCTGCAACGGGAGTGGAGGACGCGGACTCCCCAAGTGCCGGCGCACGGGCAAGGGAGGCAAGGGCAGCCCGCAGTCCCAAAGCAAGAGCTCCTGGGGGAACAAGCCTGTGCCCCTTGCCCTGCGCGGCGGAAGGGGGACGAGTCCCAGGTGCTGGCTACAGAGCCCGCAAGGCGTGGGGACAGGCCCTGTGGCAGCCCATGCTCTCCCAACAACTCTGCCCAGAAACTCCCTGCTGAGGGAACTTCGCTCGGCTCCCTCCCTCATCACTGTCCTTCCACGGGCAGGAAAAGATGCTTTTTATCAGGCGGGCCTTCGCGGTGGAAGCAAGTTTCTTGCTATGGGGAACTTTTAACTAGCTGGGTGCTCTTTGTATCTTTTTACTGCTCTGCTTTTCATTGCTTTCTGAACTGACTGGCGTTTGTGCTTTTGTCAAGATCCTATCAAGCTCCTTTTTCGGTGGAAAGGCAGGATATAAATTGAGCAACTGCAGCTCAGTCATGCTACATCAGGGGAAAAAATCAACTCTGCGTATGTTCAGCAGCACTCCTTCAAATATTCTGAAAGCCTCCCTTCCCTTGCCAGCCTACTTGCCCCTAAACATGGAAAAGATGTGATGAAGGGCTTGTCTGCTGAAAGGAGCTTCTCCGTAATGGCCCCTGAATTACGAAATGATTTCCTGATGAGGCCTGCCTGATGCCAAGATTATCTTTTTGGCGTCAGGCTATAAGACCTTCTGGAGAAGAGCTTTGTGAATATCCTGCACTGACAGAAAGACAAATAAGTGGGTCTGTGGCTTTTCCTAGAAGCAAAAATGACAGAACTGAGGCTGTCATTACACTGGGCACATCATGAGAAGTCAGGTCCCGTTGGAGAAGTCAGTCACGGTAGGGAAAGTTGAAGGCAGAAGAAGAAAAGGAAGGCCAAATGGGACGGGTTGACTCCACTGGGGAAGCCATGTCGAAGCTCTTCTCCGATCTAGGCCTTGCACTGCCACGGCAAAGCCCACGTGTGCGATGCGCAGAGGCCACAGCAAGGAACTGGGGAGCGCTGAGCGGGGCCACTGTGGACAGGATATTTTGGGGGGCTTTCACTTGTGTGGTCGCCACACATTGGAGACAACTTGATGGCACAACAAATAAGACCTGTTTGTCTAAGGCATTTGGCAGAGATTGGTGAGGCTTTAATCAGGACCTGGATGTTGCCTGTTTATACATTCATACATACCTAGTTTTAAAGCTTCAACCATTGCAAACTGCCCAGCGCTTTGTCTGCTGGGCGATATAGAAATGAAATGAAATGAAATGAAATGAAATGAAATGAAATGGGAGCTGTAGGATCTTTCCCTGTCTCCATCTGCATAAGATTGCAACTTAGGCGGGTGACATTTGCAGGAGGAGGTGCTGCACATGCTGCAGGCAGAGAGGCCAGAATTTACACCCCGGAGCTTGCGGGTGCGAGGCTGATGCTGCGCCCCAGCAGCGAGGCTGCTCTGCTCTCCTTACCTGCATGGTCTGCATGGGGATGAGTTTCGCTCATGGATCCCAGCCCCGTGTCTGCTTTGTAGATCTGGTTCCCACCATGATGGCTCGGCTCAGCTCCTGAATCAGAGTCGCTCTGGCCTGCTTTCACACTCTTCCTCCTGCGGGGCTGGTATTTATAATCTGGATGGTCTCTCTTGTGCTGAACTCTCAGTCTCTCGGCTTCCTCCACAAAGGGACGCTTCTCGCTTTCACTTAGCAAACTTGTTGAAAAAGAAAGAGAGGGGTGCAATTCATTCCTTCTCTCTAAAATTAGGTTGTTCAAGGTGTCCCTGCCACTGTCCATGGAAGTGCATGGAGCTAGCAAACCAAGTCAAAATTCATCACACACAGAGTGTACCGTTTAACAGAAAACATTTCAAAGACATTCTGAGAAAGCTTGTGGAGATTAAAAACTCCTAATCGTCTCTCATTATTTTGTCAAAGACATGCCAACACAACAGCCTCGAGTTCTTCTTAAGCAGCTCCACACAGCTGTCAATGACTGCATGCCGAGTTCAGCTTAACACAACTGTCACAGCCTGTCCTTCCTGGCGCACGAGTTGCTCCTGTCCTAGCCAGCTTGAGTGTGACAAACACACAGGCACACCTGCCTGTCAGCGCAGGATGCATCAGTTTTGTGCACCTAAGGGTGCCCTGTAATTCACAACAGCTTTTTACTGTCCACACACACACAATCTTGTTTTTGCTGCAGCAGAGCAATTCAGCAACGCTGCAGAGCTTCTTCTTTAGAACTGTCACTGTGTGGCTCTTGCATGCATTTGAGCCTCTGGTGGATCGTCACAGGCAGTTGTATTCCACACCTGTATATCGCCCCCCCCACACACACACACACATCAATACCCCTTTCTTTGCTCTGCCCCTGGGCTTTGCACTCGCCACTGAAGATTACCCTGCATGAATCAGACAACGTAGACCCGAGTCCACAAAGCTTGTGCTGGAAGGACCACGCGAGGCGGCAGGCCATGCACTCTCTGGGCCGCTTCTGCTGCGGTGCAAATGCTCCGAGAGCAGGAACAAATGCTGAAAGCTGCAGCCTGACCCAGCCAGAAGTACTCTCCAGCGCAGAGAGCTCCAGGCTTAACTGCTGCCCCACTGAAATTTGTATGCCCTCATGCTTCGTTCCGGTTTCTAACTAATGTAATATGTAGTTTACCCTCTGCTCCAGAACAACCAGGACCCCATCTCCATAAATATATGCTCACTGACAAGAAAGCCTTCTCCAACTGCATCTAATATATCAGCTTTGCCTTGATCGTAACTGATAAAAAACAAATTTAACCCTTTTAGACACAATATACTGACATCTTACCCATGTCCAAGTCTATATGGTGAGTGAGTAACTGCCATTACAAGTTTCCTTTTTAAAGCAACATAATACTCCCAGGACACTTTAAAAAAAATTATCTTTCTCTGTCTAGCAACCATCATTTGCTGCTCCTCAGATTATGCAGACTGCAGCCCAAAAAGACTCATTAAAGCTGCAATCCCATCCTAACTAGAAGGAGGTTCTATTGAGCTCAATGGGGATTACTCAGAAGACATTTAGGAGTGTTCTGTAAGGCTACCATCTTTTACATTTCTGGAATGACATATTTGGAAAATGGGAAAATGGGATTCGCTCCTGAGTAAAGCTAATAGAATGGATCTTTTTATTTATTTGTTTATTATTTATTTAATACTTTTGTATGCCGTCCCTTATGCATGGCATCTCAGGACTGCTTACAATAATTAAAACAAGCACAATTAAACAGCAATAAATAACAATTAACCCAAAAATACAAATTAAATAAGTAAATAAAAGCAACTGTTGAACATTAAAATTTAAATTAGTTTTTTAAATAACAGTTAAATAAAAAGGTTTTAACCTAGTGCTGAAAAGAATATAAACTCGGCGCCAGGCAAACCTCTTCATGGAGCGCATTCCATAATCTGGGTGCCACCAGAGAAGGCCCTCCTCCGAGTAGATGCGCTTTTTACCTCCTTCAGGGAGGGTTCCCGGAGCAGGGCCTCTCCCACATGAGGGCATGTAAGGAAGGAGATGTTCCTTCAGGGGTCCTTGTCCCAAGCCATTCAGGGCTTTCTAGGTCAAAACCAGCACTCTTGAATTTTTAGAGGTTACCATATGCAAATCATCCCTCCAATTATTAGCTACCAAAACTATTCTTGGATTAATAATTATATTATGCTGCTCTTATTCTCTGCAAGTACTTATATTTCAGGGTCAGATTCCAAGTGGCTGAAATGCACAGACCTGTCAGCCAACCCTTCTTGGTTTTCCCCTCCAGTGCAGCCTCTGGTAAGTCCGAGATCCTGTTTGGAGCTGCCTGCAAGCAGTGAGATCCACCTGCAGGCCTCAGCTGCCCTCATGGGAACAGGTCGCTTTGATTTAAGATTTATCCATCAAATGATAATTGCATTTCCGTCATGCCGTATGAAATGCCAGTTGCATGCAGCTGACAGGTTTTTGTTTGTGCAATACAACTGCCAGGAGCATCATGAGAGCAAACTCTTTAAGAGAGCCAGTGTGGTGCAGTGGTGACGAGCATGGGACTGGGACTCCGACGGTCTGGGTTCTAGTCCCCGCTCAGCCATGGAGCCAACTGGGTGACTTTGGTTAAGTCACAGACTCTCAGCCCAACCTACCTCACAGGGATGTTGTTGTGGGGATAAGATGGAGGAGGAGATGTAAGCTGCCTTGAGCCCTTTGTAGGAAAAAGGCAGGATATAAATCCAAAAATAAATAAATAAGATTTTAGAAGTGGGAGACCTCCCTTTCCTCCTCATATAAGCTCCAGGAGGAGAGATCGCAAACATGGGAATCAGCAAAATGCAGAGCATCTAGTGGGAACAAGGGAAGATGCAGCCACGTGTTGGGTCACCCCTCTGCTGCTTAAGGAAAAACAGGATGGATTGGGGCCACCCACTTTTAAACAGCTACTGCAAACCACACGGCCACCGTATGTTGCTGCTCTTATTATTTACCCTCCTCATTTCCCAACCTGTTCCACACAGAAGGCTGCCAGAAAGGACATCAATGCACAGCACTGCCTTGCTCTCCAAGCAGCTTCCAGTCCAGGAACCCTTTTAACTCCCCAACATCTTCCTTTCCCAGCTGTGCCCTTTTGCTCCAAATCTTTGTCAGCCTCTCCTGCTGATGAATTCCTGCTTGTTGAAAGGGTGGGTTTTTGGTGGGTTTTTTTTAATGAACGGTACTTAATAAGTGAAAATGTGGGTTCTATCCTTACAGTGCAACCCTATACATAAGTACTCAGAAGTAAGTGTTTCTGAACTTAATATATCATTTCAGCAATAGCCTTCCATTGCCCTAAAGCTTTTGGTTGCTTATGTGAAAAAGTGTGATGCTAAAGTGAATGCCAGTGATCCTATACATGCCTAGGCAAAAACAAGCCCCATTAAATTCAGTGGGGTTCCTTGCCAAGTAAAGTGGGCACAAGATTGCAGGACAACACTTTATAAACATTAAAAAGGAGGGGGGAAGGGAATTGAGTTTGTCTTTCTGGAAAGCAATTTGGAAATATTTGCAAGAGGCAAATAAGATCTAACAAAGTTTTCCCCTTGCTTATAATTTCTGTATATTCACACTGAATAATCCAGTTTAAATATGATGAAATGCTTGGACAAGCAAAGAAAACACTGCCAAGGAACATTGCCCGACAAGACTATTTCAGGAGCACCTCAAACAAGCAGTGCCTGAAGAACAGACCGGACCCAGTGGCCCCACAAACCAGAGCTGCGTGCAAGTTCACATCTGGTACATTCTCTGGGTGCAGAATAATCCCACTGCTTTTATTGCCAAGAGGGAGGGGTCGACCACCCGGCGAGCCACGATGCACCATTGGCTCGCACGCGCAACTGGGGTTCGGGCCTGTGCGCAGGTCAGCTTTTTAAATAACTTCAGCAGCAAAAGGCATTCCCAGTTGTGGGGATCCAACCGTCTTAAAAACTGGTGCAAATGTGAGAGCCAGTGTGGTGCAGTGGCGAACAGCGTGGGACTGGGACTCAGGGGACTTGGGTTCTCGTCCCCGCTCGGCCTTGCAGCCAGCTGGGTGACTTTGGGCCAGTCACAGCCTCTCAGCCCAACCTACCTCACAGGGTTGTTGTGGGTTTAAGATGGTGAGCAGGAGGAGGAGAATGCCATAAGCCACTTCGAGATCTTTGTAGAGAAAGAAGGGCAGGATGTAAATCTAATAAATAAAAAATACAAGCGAAAGATGGAACTGGTATTTCAACCTGTGTACTGCGCATTTCTCTCCAGCTCCAGAAACCAGTTTTTGTCCTATGCGAGCTTTAACTTAAAGGCCATTTCAGCCCTCTGCTTGTTGCGGATGAGTTCTGTGACTAGACCGAGTATAGACCAAGCGTCCTCGCTGACTCACAAGTCTGGGGCTAAAGGCCTCACAGATTTCCTTGGACCAACGGCAACGTGATTTTATGAGCAGAACCACAACCCAAAAGTGGTTTCCATTCAGAAAGATGACTGTGGCAGTGGAAAGACTCCGGCTTCTGATAATCCAGCTTTCGCCCCCTTCTGTAAGGGTACATGACCCATCTGATGTTGACGCAGTGTTGCAACTGCGCTTTTCGGATAAGGTGATGGCTGCATGCAGCCACTGGGGTCTCAGTGGAGGGAAGTGGCTGCAAGCATTTGTAGCCAAGCAGAGCCACTGCTCTGCCTCCGCTCTAAGTCAGACTCGGAGACAGCAGCTACTGGTGGCGGCAACTGGCGCAGGTTGCCAGCGGGCCACTGCAAGGCAGGACTCCGCTCCTGACGCTAATCAGTTGTGAACTGGCACGACCAGCAGAAGACGCAAATGGCAACCACCTGGGGCCTGCCCCCCCCCCCCCCCCCATGCACACAAACATCCACGGGAGACAATCAGCTGTGCCATTTGGATTGGGCAGGAGGAGGAAATTCACAGCAACGTTCAAGGGATGGACTTGTTCTGGGATATGGCCAAGAGTAAACGCAAAAATAACAGAGCACATTTTAAGATGTCAGGAAGTATGTCCTGATGGTTAGGACCCCTAGGATATGGAATGGGCTTCTGCAGGCGGTGAGCGGGGGCACCAGTGAGGGCATTCAAGGAAGATTGGACAACATGTGTTGGGGATTCCATGCATGGAGCCGGCTGGAGCCGGAGTCAGACTGAATGGCCCAGGAGGCCCCTTCTGACTCGCT